AAAAGGGCAGGCGGCTAGGGAAGGATTTTTTTCCTTCCCGTACCAGCAAGTGTGTTATTAGGTTTAAGCAGGAGAGAGGCTGGTTATAATGGATGGAAGGAGCTTCCTGCAAGAAGCAGGACCTTTATTTTGAAGTGGTGTAGCAGCTGTTGCTGGTTGCAGTAGAGAACTGCAGATCTGACTGGGTCACACAGTGCTCTGTCGTCTTCACGCTGCACTGGATTGAGAGTGGCGCAGGCACTTATAGTCACTCAGATTGAAGTTGTATCCTTGGAAAAAGCTCCTGGTAGCATTGCAACTGTGTAATGGCTGTTGGGGATGGTGAGTACAGCCTTGTTTTTGTTGTCAATTAGACTTAGCTTGTGTGCGTTTGAATGTTGGAACAACCTTGCTATGTTAAGCCCATATTTGTGTTACACCAAGATTCATTTACTGTATAGCTTTTAGAGCTCTGAAATTTAAATTTGCTTTAAGCAACAATAAGAGTAGACATAGAGTTGTCTGCCAGCCCTATATCCAATGGTTTTATGTGTCTATGAGGAGGACATGCCCTCTCTGTATCAGCAGTGAGAAAGTGTATATACTTTGCTGTACAAAGTCATTATTTGAAGAAAATGCAGGGTTATGTTTTTTAAACCTTTGTCTGTATTAAAGATACTTAAGTCTTAGCATCTGTCAGATTGATGTTATACATGAGCTTGCCATTGCTACCATCCTTGAACAATCTGCCTAGAGGATTGAAGAGCATAATGCTAATTTTTGTTTTGTTTTGTTTTGTTTTAGAATTGTGTATTTGTAATTTTTTACTTTTTAAAGATGGCATTGTAACTAATCATACTAGGGTTCTTCTGCATGTTTTCTTTTGGAGATACTTTATGATTTGCACAAATGCTCCTAAAATATCACCTTACAGGGTTATTTGACCTTTATAGAACTTGATAATATATGGGGCAGCAAATTAATGTCTAGGGCATTGACTTTGTCTTGGAGTTTATATTTAGTAATAGCAGCTCAGACAATTTATTCAAGGTATATTTTTCAGTAGGAGTTACGAAACTGAAAGAAAGCTAAAAAGAAAGATGTAATTACTTATAGATAATAGCCATACATCTCTAGGTATAAGTATAGTATACATATCTAAAATAAGGAATTCTTCAACAGTTGATTCCTATGATGTCTGTGTTCTAATCCATTGGAAATTAGACAATAGCTTAGACTGAGTATTTTGTAGTCCTTAAGATGTTTGCATAATCCTGTACCATTGATATGAGTAGTTAGACAAACTTTGGAAATGGTTAGCTTTAAAAGTTTTAAGTGCCACTTCTTCATAAATTCAAATATGTATAATTGAAATTGTCTAAAAATGAGATTTTTCAACATGTCTTTCTGTTAGAGCCCCCAACATGTCTACTCACCTTTTTTTTTTTTATCACTAGCAGAAGTACTAAAAAATAGCATTGTTCTGATAGTCAACTGACACTTGTATGGAGAAGCTTTGCATAAAATGTCAGATCCAATTAGGATTGTGTAGGATGATCTAGCAGCTTTTTCTTGCTTAAATCCACCATTCACCACATCTAGGGGATATTCACTCTTGATAACAAAGTTGAACAATGTCATGAGAAAGAAAACATGATCAAAAATAATACTGTATGTTGTAGATAATCTAGTCTGTAGATGATTTAGTTACCTGGATATATTGACTTGGTTGCAAAGAGACAAAAGCAAAGTTTCACTCAGGCAACAGGATTTTTCTGTCTCCTCAGTGCAATCAGGTATGACCCCAAGCTATTTCTGCTTGTTGCGGGGCCCTCTGGAAAGGCATGAGATGTGCAAAGGGCTGCAGCTAGTGGGAGAAATCTGGAGACCTCCATGAACAAGCCAAAGTGTTCCAGTTGCAGGCTATTTGGATCCCTTTTAAAATGTGACTTTCAGAATTTCTACTTTTGCTAGCAGAATGAATGAAGACTTGCATCTGACTGAACCTTACCTTAAGCATACAAAGAATTCAGATATATGGGAAATTGTTTCTGTTCTTAACAGTTTTTCTGTTTAAAAGCACTGGATTCGAACCTTAATTTTCCGTTATGAGAGGTGGAAGCATAGGTGATTCTATAGATGGAACTCTGAAGCTTTTCTTTGAAATTTGTTCCCTCAAATTATTTTGGAAGGTTCCAGAGCAATGCATTTCTTTTTCTGCTTGAAAATGTACGAGTGTTTGTTAGAAATATTCAGATACCTTCAAATCATATTACGTTGGTGCTGTGTGAAGCTGGCAGACAGCAGTTCTGGGCAGTAGACTTTTTGTGTGTAAGGTGCTCCTTGAAGAGGATAAAGTTATATCCCTTGTTAACCAGATTAAGGCTCTCAGTCTGTATCTAACATAATTGCTGCGTACTACTATCATGTAGGCCCAAGATCATACTATTTTAATTCAATGATTTTTCAGTGTGTTGCTATTTTGTTAAAAGTAAGTACGTTAATAAGATTCTTCCTTGGCTTTTGCCAGTATAATATCAAACTTGAAAGACTATTTTAAAAAGTACATTCAATCCAGATTTGTTGAGAAGGCTTAGACAAGTTAATTCCTGATGAGGAAAATTTTAAATGAAGTTATTCATTAGAAAACAGGCACATGTTGTGTTTAATGGTAATAAATGCAAGTGCATTTAACAAGGGGGGAAATCCATTTTGTACAAACAACAAAATGAATGAATGAATGAATGAATGAATGAATAAACTTTATTACAGTCACAGACCAGCATAAGAGAAACATATGAATAAAATAGCAGTTAGTATTTAAACAGGTAATTGTTAAAGAAAATAAGAACAAAGAAAAAGCATAGGGTAAAACATGTGTGATGAGTATGAGTTACTCGTGCGTAAACTGGTGCCTCTCTAGGCTAATTTGCCTTGTTAAACCTTTCTGACTGCACAGCCCTTTCTAATCATGACTGCCTCAGTCACTGGCAGAATCCGTCAGTGGGCGTTTCTTGAATCTCTTCCAACATAAGAGTTGTTTGACACCCAGTCTCCTCCTCCTCTCACTGCGCGGGAGCCTTCTGCGCAGGGAGGGCGTAGGTAGCGGAGGACCTGTCCCCTCCTCACTGAGGTCCAGTGAAGAGTCCTGGAGCCCTCTCTCCGATTCCCCCATCTGCCCCCCTTTATCCCTCGTGTTGCGCTTAAATGCTTCCCCCTCCACTGAGCTGCTTCTCCCCCTGCTGCTGGGTCCTTCTCCAGCATCATCTAGGAGCCTCCCCTTCGCCTCCCGCTCCGATGTCAGTTCCCTGACAACATGTGAGTAGAGTACGAGATTAAACACAGATAATTGATGAATAAGAACTGATAATAAAAACAGATAAGGACTAAAAGACATGCAGTTAAAACAACTATAAGGGGTGGAGCTTGGGGAAATAACGGTCTTGCAACATGGGCCTTCAGTTTAGGACTGGTTTGCAGCACAAACCATCCTTCGGCGAATATCCATCATGGCAGCGCAAAATCTAACAACTGAGTTTGTAACATGTAGGTTTTCATCCTGGAGTAGTAGGGAGATGCTGAGTTGTTCTGTATGTCCTGGGAATTTGTGCAGGATAGGCAGGATAAACCTGGCTTGTATGTCTACATAGTACTGGCAATGGGGAAAGGCATGTTCCATTGTTTCCTGCTGCCCAGAACCACATGGGCATTTCCTCTCCTCGTATGGTGTCTTCCTATAACGGCCTTTCTGAATGGCTATGGGGAGGGTCTGACAATGGGCCAGAGTGAAAGCCCTTTGTATTTTTGAGATTTCAAGGTTGGTTATATATGGCATTTGGGAGTTGAGGTATCTACTGGTTTCACTGATTAGAAATTTTGGGGACCTAGCTAGGTCTGCTTGACGTTCTGTGTCTTCCACACGCTGTTTAATTTTTTTTTTAGCTTGTTCATACCCCATGTCAAGTAAAATCTGTGGGTTGAAGCCTAGAGTAGTTATTATATTTTTCACTGCTCGTTTCCATGTCGATTGGAAATTGTCCTTAATAGTCAGGGAAGCAAGGCCGCTCTGGAAGAAAGATAGTCTCAACCAGTAATTTAGAGCGTAATTTAAAGTTCAACTCAAATTTGTTGAACTTGTATTGCAGACAAAAGAGTTCAATTTAAAACTGAACTTATAGACTTTTAGGCGTTTAATCATAGAATACATGAAGCTGTCCTCACCGTTGTTGTCAATTGAAATATTCTAAAATTAGTTTCTTTCCATGTTTTTGGTTGGATTAGTTTCCCTAATTTGCATAATAGCTACATTTTAATGGTCTTCTGGACTAAGACAACTTAAAACACTTTAAAAATGGCAAAACAGGTGTGATTAAGAAAGCTATACACAAAAGGGGCAGGGGCTTGAGAGTCCATGTTTGTTGATCATCATTTTGAGCAGAGGTTGCCAACCTTTTTGGAACGGTAGGCATATTCTGAATTTTGAGAAATGCTGTGGGCGCCAGGCACAAGATGACCATCATGAGGGGTGTGCCATAACTTAGACTTAAAAAGTGCAGTTGTTGCTGTTCCCAGATGCTGCTCCCCCCTGTGTGCCACACAAACTTGGGTCTCTCTCCAGGTGCATCTCTCTCAATCACACATGCGCAGTGCACAGTTGAACACACACACATTCAGAAAAGCCTCTCCACTGGTGAAGGAAGATCCTGCCATTTCCTTCCAAAATAAAAAATAAGAGGGACCGGCGCAGCATGACGCCGGAAATCGTGTCTGCTCATGTCCGCGGTGCTGGGAATCCCTTCTGCGCATGCCCAGAGCCTATTTCCAGCGCCGCGGACATGCGCAGACCTAATTTCCAGTGCCACTCAGCGAGTCACAGCGCGCGGGGGACTCGTCAAGTGGGCGGCTCAGTTCGAGGGCGACTTGTGAGCCGGTAAAACTGTCTTCGTGGGCTGCATCTGGCCCATGGGCTGCACGTTGCCAACCCCTGATCTAGTCCAACCCCCTGCAGTGCAGGAATCTTTTACCCAACGTGGCGATTGAACTCACAACCCTGAGATTAAGAGTCTCATGCTCTACTGACTGAGCTATCTGACTACAAGATTGATGATTGCCAGAAAGTATTGTATTATTATTTTTTTGTTTGTAAGCTTTTTTTGTGTGTATGGAAGGAACGCAGATGGCACTATGGGTTGAACCACAGAGCCTAGGGCTTGCTGATCCGACGGTCGGAGGTTCAAATCCCTGTAATGGGGTGAGCTCCCGTTGCTCGGTCCCTGCTCCTGCCAACCTAGCAGTTTGAAAGCATGAAGTGCAAGTAGATAAATAGGTACCACTCCGGCGGGAAGGTAAACGACGTTTCCGTGCGCTGCTCTGGTTCGCCAGAAGCAGCTTAGTCATGCTGGCCACATGACCCAGAAGCTGTACGCCGGCTCCCTCAGCCAATAAAGCGAGATGAGCGCTGCAACCCCAGAGTCATCCACGACTGGACCTAATGGTCAGGGGTCCCTTTACCTTTAAGCTTCTTTTACAACTTTTCTGGCTGATGATTTCAATAAATGGTTGTTGGGAAGTTGACAACCAGCATCAAGTCAAACCAATAATTTAATATAGCAGTAGCTTTGTAACTAAGCCCATAACTAATTAGCCAGTAAATTATCTTTTAAAAAAATATCGCTTGCAGTGGAGGCACAGAGTGCCCTGACCCTTCTGTAGCAGTGTGGTGCATTTCTATGCTTGCTATGGAGGAGAGGGCTTGCATTATCTAGTTAGCCCACTTGGCTTCTAAGCTGAGTATGGAGGAGGGATAGAGCACCCACACACATACAGTACATATGCGGATGTATAGTTCCTCAACACTTGTGGCTAACAGACTTGTGGTTTAATCCAAGGCTGAAATGCAATAAAACATAGTTTTAGAGGCAATAGCTGATGAATCAATAAGGTCGCTGCAAGGTGGTGATTTGTCACTCAAGATTTCTAGATGTCGCTTTACGAAGCCGGGTAATTTGTGCAGAAGCAAATACTCACAGGCAGTGAGGAGAAGTAGTTAATTCTCCCTTCTCTGCTTATCAAGTGATTAATTTGAAGGGGGGGAGGAGGAGGAAAAGGAAATTTGCATTTCCATCAGGGCTCTTTGTGTCTTTGTTCGGAGTGAGGGCAGGGTAGAAAATTTTACTTGGGAGGAGGCCAGATTCCCCCACCTTAAAAAAAAAGCCAACAAAACTAGAGACCTAGGGTTTGATGCAAACTTCATCTTCTGACTTCCGCTGACAGAAATGTCCCTTGAATATGCAGCAGGTTTTTGATCCAGTGCAGGGATCTTGCCTGTGGATTGCCCCTTCCTCCTTCAGCCCCCACACCCATGCTGCTTACGAGGGTCCCCCAACCCTCATGCACTGCACAAAGTAGCCCTGGGGCTTGGAGTAGGAGGGGGAAATCCTCAAAATTTGTCTTGCCCTCCACCAGTGGGAATTCCACTTAGGATACTTCCATTTGCTAGAGTCAGGTCTATGTCCACCCTTAGTTCCCTGTTCTTGTGGTTCCCCCTTGTAATTGGTAATCCTTTAGTTGGGTATAATGTCCATTGTAAATGCCTATTTTCCCCCAGGGTTGGAGGGTCTGTTATAAACTCTTAAATTTTAACCAGAATTAATGTTCCTTGAGACTTCATTTGTCTGCATAGTTTTCTGGTAGTAAAGTCTCCACATGGTCACTTAACATCCTACTTTATGTGGAGATGCATATATGTGAAATAGTCACAACTTTAAAAAAGTATTTCCAAAATATATTTAAACCCAAAAGTGAGAGACTGTTATGCAAAAGGAGTCTGACTTAACATATACCAGGTGAGAGGCTGGTTTTGATATACAAGGTTAGAAGATGATGCCAGATTGGCCCCATGCTTTGAAAAGCAGAGTTTAATAAGAAGAAAAGTAAATTTCCATACTAAGTAGCTTTGGTTATATTGAACCCTTTAAAATCAAGCCCCATTTTTTAAAGAGCCAGTTGAAAAATACATCACAAGGGGAAAAAATGAAGTAACACAAAATAATTGGTTGATACAGGTTGGGATATCAAGACTTTCTGCAGGCTAGTTAGTCATCCTTTAGCCCCATTGAAATCAATGAGACTTGTTAATCATGACTGCCTTGTGTGACTTACTTTGTTGGGAGTCCAAAATGCATCAGTTAAGTATAATGTTACATGGCATAAGTAAACTTAAGAGTGTTTACTTAATTAATCTCTATATACTAGATTTTTTTTTTTAAGTTGTCTACTTGTGGGAGACTGTATATTTTTAAAAAGTTTCTGTGTGTTCTGAAATACCAATTCCTGCTTACTGAAATCCAGTTTTTGAAATGCCCATAAAGATGGCCAGTTAAGTTGCCAGCTATTGTGGTGGGGTTTTTTGTGATGTGCATCCTTGTCCATTTTTTAAATTGGACTGAGACCAACTCTTTACTACTCAGTGGTTATGTTATAAAAAATGCTGATAAAGGCAAAGGTGGAATTCAACATCGCACTGATTTGATCATTCTGCCCCAGTGGAAGCATTTCTGCTTGGTGGGCCAAACAATATTTCCTCTCTACCCCACCACACACTGTTCTGGAGCATGGAAAGGAGGAAGGGGAAAGCCCTGTTGAGCTAGCAGGAGTTCTTGTGCACTTCACTAGGGCACTAGGCTAGTTGAATCTAACCCTTAGTTTTTGCTTTTATAATTTATTTTAATTATTTATTTATTAAATTCGTATACCGCCCAATACCCATAGATCTCAGGGCAGTTTACTACATAAAAGTACAATATATTATGGGGTCGCTTTGGGTCATTTGCCAAGTCTTATTTGCTAGGTGTTGTCCATACAATTCTTACTGACTGCGACATAGAGAATGAAATGCCTTCAGTTGGTTATAAGACCTATTATGTTAAAAGTAAAAACAACTATTCACAAACATTTCTGAAAACTAAATTGTGGATTAAGATTGAGAAAATTCTTGCTTGATGGATCAGGCTGCTTTAGGGCCAGTAGCCAGAGGTAGGAAGACACAACCAAGTTCCTTGAATTGAAACCAACATTTTGATGTGTCACTTAAGAGCAGTTCATGCCTATCAGTACAGTGGTACCTCAGGTTACAGACACTTCAGGTTACAGACTCCGCTAACCCAAAAATAGTACCTCGGGTTAAGAACTTTGCTTCAGGATGAGAACAGAAATCATGCTCTGGCGGCGCAGCAGCAGCGGGAGGCCCCATTAGCTAAAGTGGTGCTTCAGGTTAAGAACAGTTTCAGGTTAAGAACGGACCTCCGGAACGAATTAAGTTCTTAACCTGAGGTACCACTGTATTGGCGCAGGAGACCTCAGCCATGAACGTGCCTTATAATATTCATATTGCTGATAAATATGTGTTTCTAAAGAGTCCACTTTTTTGGTGCAGTGAATGCCCTTATGCATGCTCAGGGAGCTGCTGATTCTAGCAAATTCATAACTTTTTTGAATTCCCTTTGTTGTTATTTCAATTGAGCCTCGCCTATTGGAAGAACAACAGTTATGAATTTGCTAGAACCAGCAGCTTCCTGAGCATGCATAATCTCCTTGGAAATCTACATTTCAAGGAAGGATTTAGCAAAATGATGTCAGCCAAGTGGATAAATCTCCAAGACAGAACTGCTGAAGCAATAAACTATATAATGTGTCTGATATCTTTATTAAGAAACCTGTAAAGCAGTGGCATGACACTGACCAACTGGCACCATCTCTGCCAAGTTCCAAAATGGTTTGACATATATGAAATGCAAACTTGTTTTCTCAGCTGCTAACAAAATAAAGGCAGTCGATTTAAACGTTTTGCAAATTTTCTGTTGCACCAGTGTTGACCTCTGTGAACTGAAGATACCAATACTACTACTACTACTACTACTACTACTACTAATTTATTATTTATACCCTGCCCATCTGGCTGAGTTTCCCCAGCCACTCTGGGCGGCTTCCAATCGAGTGTTAAAAACAATACAGCATTAAATATTAAAAACTTCTCTATAGGCAAGAGTTGCCCCAAAAGTATTTGCTTTGGGAATTTTCAATGTGAGATTGCTACCAAACCAAATTAGAAATGCCTAAATAAATGTGTGGTTCAGAGACTGTTCAGGTATTTGCTTCCCTCTGTGCTTGTTGAAATTGGGAGGTCAAAGTTATTTAAATGTGTGAGCTCCTTTATTCCTAGATGCTGAAACTTAAAGGAAAGTCTGTTTCATTGTCCAGGATTAGAGGAATGTCATGTTTGGATAAAGTGGTCTCCCAGTTCATGCATTTATCTCTTTAGAGAGGAAGACCACAAAGCCCCTAGGCCTGTTCCAGTCTCTCAGAGAAGCAAGAAAAGTAGAGTAATTGCTGGACAGCTTCTCTGGCACCTCTGTTCCCATAGTTCAAGTAGCTGCTAAATTGCAAATGGCAAGAAAGTGGGATAAGGAAGGGAATGTATATGTTTCCTTGGATGGAGGAAACATTTTCCTCTTGAGCTATGTTTCCCATTTCTGAGATGTAATGGGGTAGTCTCAAACCCTTAACTAGATCTGTGTGCAAATATATATATATTAAAAATCAGCCAGCAAGGGTAAACAAGATCTGTTTTTCTTTTTTTTTATTAGCCCTTTATCCTGGATTTGACTGGAGAACATACTGAACACACCTATGGAGGTGTGGAATGCTCAGTCTGCATACAAGTGGAGGGAATGCAGATGATTTGGAACAGTCAGATGCAGATGACTCCTTGTAGGAAGATTGTCACTATCCCCCAAGAATGTGCTATCCCCCACAATGCCTCTTCTCAAATCAAATAGACTCTTAACACTTATATCCTCTTACTTCAAAATGCCCTTTTATGTGTTCTACCTGAGGTATGAAAGTTAATGTGACTGAAGAGATCTTATAATAGCTTGCTTGTGGTGTGGGTAATATACCTCTCCATATTTTAACACAAAGTATTTGGTGTGAACACAGCTGCAAAGAACAGCCTAATATTAAAGTTTTTATAGAGGAGTGACTGACTATTGAATTACTTTAGCGCCTAGAATTAAAAGATGGTTGCAGACATGAAC